TGTTTAAATAATTAGAAAGAATGTAAGAATGAAAGAAAAAAATATATTTGGCAACAAATTGAATCATCTCTTTGTTCACGTTTCATATATTCATTGATATGAATTTTTCTATTTTTTACACATAAAAGCAAATTCAGAACAATTTTTTGTTGTTATTCTTATTTCTAGGTATTAAAGCAATAAAAATAAGCTATGCATAACCCGTGCGCAAAAATGCTGTAGACAGTTGTTATTAATACGTTGCGGCAATCACTAAAATTCGCTAAAATGACACTAATGACGTTTAAAAAGTGGCACGCTCGTCTTCATACAAATTTTTTGATATGCTGCATCTATCCATATCTGTGGTGGCGCCAGTAGATAAAACGATATAGTGACGTCAAAATCGATATAACGCCGCGATAGCAGTTTATCACGGCGCGCATCTTAGCCCTGCTGGTGAGCTCTCTATGAAGAACTCCGAGCAAGCTCGCCCCCAGGTGACTAAAATGGCGGCAAACGGAAGTAAGTCAAATCAATTCCTATTAAATAATTGCGGAAATGACGTCATTTAAGGTATAAAATGGTAAAAAAACTACACCGGAAGTAGACGCATCTCTCTCACCAGATGCTGTGCATCGTCTCTGCTCAATAATACAAGTTTTATAAGTGCCTTTTAGGGTCGGATCGTCTGGAGCGCACGTGTTGCGCACGTCCACTTCCGAAGGCTGCCCAAAACGAACTCCCCCCAGAAGCCAGATCCAGTGATATAAATAAATTGTTACCCGCTAGCAAGTCCAATTGATCTTCTATACGAGGTAGAGGGTAATTATCCCTTTTAGTCTTACGATTCAAAGCGCGGTAGTCTACACACAGACGTCTATCGCCCGTTTTTTTCTTTACAAGAACAATTGGACTTGCGTAGGGTGAGGCAGATTCCCTTATAATGTCTCCATCAACCATCTCCTGAATCATGTCACGAACTAAGCAAGCATCTTTCGGAATGAGGCATACGATAAGGTCTATACACAACCGGTTCAGAGTCTTCCAATTCTATATTCATCTCACCTACGTTAGTATAGCCTAAATCTTTGAGGCCGCTTGAGAAACAATCTCCGTATTCAGCCAACGTATTTTGAAGAGTCAAACGTTGTTCGGTTGTCAAGTTTGGGTTGCAATTTAACGTGTCGTCTACTTCAGTTGTACCAATTGTGTCTGCACAAATGTTTGAAGTCATATGAATTTCGGTAGCTCTCGTTATAAGTACGTTGTCCTTTATAACAATATCGTTATTGGATACGTTTTGTACTAGTAAAGCACATCTATTATCAACAACGCTATACTCCCCAGGCAGTAGATTTTTTTTTTTTTTTTTTATCCACAACGAGGAAGCTCTTGAAGATAATATTCTTTGCCTTCAGACCCACGAATCGTTCCATTGACATAGATTCGGCCTACTGTTAGTTAATGTTAATTAACCGTAATAGCGCGTAAGGCGTTGACAGGAATTGTTGAAACGTTTTTAGAGATAAGATGAACTTTATTGTTTTGTTTCTGTATTATTATCTCATTCGGTGTTTTAGTGATGATTAAATTTGGCCTCTCTGTGAAGAAGTGGTCAAGCAAGACGGTAGTTCAAAACATAGTCCTCAACCACATATATGTCGATAACTTCTTTGATATTTTGAACTTCAACTGTCGTGACAATGAGACCCAATGGTTGAACTAAGTTTGCTCCAATACCTCTTAGCATTGGGAGTTTCACATCAGTGATAAGTTTTAAGTTTAACGATTTAGCATCAGTTTCCCACATTAACGAACACTGGCTACCCAAATCCATATGACATTGAAAGATTTTATCATTAACTTTAACTTTCATTATATATTTATCATAGCTTTTATCTGTAACGTTAAGTCCACATGTCGGCTCCTCGACCTCAACTGGTACAACATTAAGTTTCGACACCTGTTTCTCGATTTTAGGTATTGACTCTGGTAGTTGGTTACTATTAGAGCTATCATTAACTCCATTAGCTTTGTCTCTATAGCAATTTGAAGACTGATGTCCTATCCTACCACAGTTTGTGCATTTAACCAAAGGTTTATCACATAAGAAGCTTGGGTGCCCTAATTGGTTGCAATTGAAACACCTAATGTTTGGGTTGCCGCTTCCGGATTTAGGATCAATTTGCTTATTGATCGTGGTGCTACTTTTCTCAAATCTATTTTTCTTAGCTCTAACATCTCGTATTTGCCTATTTTGACCGATCTAAAATATTTAAGAACCTGGTCTGGTTGTGAAAATTGTGCTGACTGTGCGCCTATCTTAACGGTGCGATCATCCACGCCATGTATTAAACAGTCCACCGCCTGCCTACCGGTTATTTTGCATCGATTCAGAAGATTGATTTTAGCATAGAAATAATGTTCTAGAGATTCTCCGTAACGAACGCGTTTATTTAGCATCTCCGTTAGAAGCTCGGCATAGTCTTCGCGGCAAGGAAAATTTTCAATGAGTAGTTTTTTCCATTTAGTCCAACTATGTTTCATCGACTCAAGAGCTCGATAGCATGACCTAGCAAGACCAGACAATTTTGGGAGCGAGTAATGTATTGTAATTTCTCGCTCGTCCCAGTTATAAATCTCTGCGCATTCTTCGATCTTATTGATCCACGTTAACATTGTCTGTTCTTTGGGGGTCCATATTGGCTCACCTAAAGTTATTTACCCGAAATTTATTTATTTATTTGGTTCACCAATACATTGTTACACTCATTCCGTCGTCCATGCGTGGACAAACCGGTCGCGTCCCCACCGCCGTGCGCTGATCGTAGCGCGTCACTGTATCGGTGTTGTTAGTGCACAGAGTAATAACGCAAATAGAAGCTACATCGAAATGGCCCTAAACAGCACGTTCAATCAAGGCGACCTTTCAATACAAGAATGTAAGACTGGCGAAATGAGCGTCGACGGCTCGCTAATTGACAAGGAGTCACCGCCAAACTTTGTCACACACAGAAAAGGGACAAGTACTGAAATACAGGAATTAAGATCAGAATTGAAAGCATTTCAAACAAGCATCGTTTCTACTCTCGAAAGTTGGTTCACTCGGCAAGATGAAAATTTCTCAAAACTTATAGACGACATGAATGAAATGAAGACCTCTATTCAGCTCATCAGTGATAAATATGAAGATTTGAATACTAAAACTGAGGACATTGCGAGGTGAGTTACTATCCTGGAGAAAGAATCCACGACTGCTCAGGCTAACTCCTCGAGTATCGCACACCTGGAAGCCAAGATAGACATCATGGAGCAGCAGGCATGTCAATGTAACCTTGAAATAACCAACATACCGGAGAAACGCGGGGAAAATCTTGCGTCCATGCTTGAAGACATAGCTACTCTTGTGAAGGAAACCATAAACAAGCACGACATAGTAGCGATTCATCGCGTTCCACACGCCTCCCCTGCCTCACAGCGTCCGAAAAATATTATAGTGAAGTTCACAAGCCGTCTAACACGTGACAGTTTGATATCAGCTGTCCGCCTGCACAAGGGAATAACTACGGAGCAGCTGAACATCTCTGGCCCACCGCACAAAGTCTTCATCAATGAACATCTTACCCTGAGAAACAAAAACTTGTTCCGGCAAGCGCGAGAAGCGGCGAAACAACACGGTTTTCGATTCGTGTGGGTGAAGCATGGGAGCATACTCTTGTGAGACGTAGTGAAACCTCCCCGATATTCTCCATCCGCTGCGAAAGTGACTTAGTGAAAATCACTTCTACGGCCAAATGAGTGTTTTCTTTATACGTGATCAGTGGTGTAGTGCTTTTTCAGTTATCTAAATTACTTAGTTATGCTTATATTTCTCATTATTTAAATGCTATTGTAAATTATCATACTCTTAACGTTATCGTGTGTTGCGGTCTCTGGTGCTATCATTACTCTATGTGTTTACGTGTTGAACGGTTAGGACAACTTGTCGCGCTTACCCGACAAATTAAAAATGATTCTATTTTTGCATTAAGCCCAATTATTAAGAGCGTTGTAGCAAAAAGTTGGCGTTCGAATTTTAGGTTTTTATTGCTTGACGTCGCGTAGTGAGTGCGCAAACTGCATTTATCTGTACAATTTCAATGCTGCGTCGACTAAACGATCTTAATCCGTAGTTGTATCGTACCTAAGACAGTACATCATCATACCTAATAATAAAGAAATAATGTATAATTTACCTATTTGATTTTTTCTCAGATCAGACTTTTAGCAAAATCAAGTTACGTAATTAATGTATTTTTTACACTAGTAAATCCCGCGACAAGTTTTTAATCTTTAAATTGAGTAAAGTAATAAGTTGATGGGTTTGNGAGGGTGGTAAGTCATTTTTTGGCCACGTGCGCTTGCTTTATGGCAGCTACCTATGGCGTGAGCTTTGTGTTGCTTATACCACGTGCGCTTGCTTAAGGCAGCTACCTATGGCGTGTGTTACTGCGAGTTGTGAGTGATGTTGCACATGTTGATGTGCAACACCATTAGTGACATTGGTTGTCACGGGGCCATAGTATGCGAACTTGGAGCCTATGCTATGGTCAAGGAGTCGTGACATGCGAACTTTTGGTGCCTCTGTCGCGGGGCATAACCATTACATTTAACACCTAATGTTTTAGTTATGCGAGTAGGGATGGTCATAATATGCGAACTTGGTGCCTATGTTATGATCAAGGAGTCGTGACATGCGAACTTTTGGAGCCTCTGTCGCGGGGCATAGCTTCTGCATTAAAATTATAATGCGTTTGTTATGCGAACAGGTGACAGAAATCCGGAATCTGTCATTTGTTATTTAGTTTTGAGATTTATCTGTTCCCAAACTTAGTTAAATTATAGACGTTGTCTATTAAGGCTTTGCTTGTGATGGTTTGAGTGCACGCTTTCTATCATAACGCAAAGTTATCCAGAGCCCTCTTTTTTTCATCTCATTTTCGTTTTACTATGTCGCTCAGAAGTTGTTGCAATTCCAGAGTCTGATGATTCTACCGATGACCTGGGAGGCCAAGAGGATGGTGGCGAAGGACCCTCTCAAGAAGCAGAGGATGGTGGCGAAGGACCCTCTCAAGAAGCAGAGGATGGTGGCGAAGGACCTTCTCAAGAAGCGGTCGGGGACGCCTCGCGGTCAGGAGAGGCCGTATTACAAATAACTGAAGAAGAGGCGGGGCCTAGCAGCCCGTACTGGTGACGTCAGCGGTGGCGTGATCGTGGCGCGCCGGAGCAGGTTGCTGCCTGTTGCTACGGACGGAGCTCACTTTTCCTTCGGCGCTCGAGANGATGGTGGCGAAGGACCCTCTCAAGAAGCAGAGGATGGTGGCGAAGGACCCTCTCAAGAAGCAGAGGATGGTAGCGAAGGACCTTCTCAAGAAGCGGTCGGGGACGCCTCGCGGTCAGGAGAGGCCGTATTACAAATAACTGAAGAAGAGGCGGGGCCTAGCAGCCCGTACTGGTGACGTCAGCGGTGGCGTGATCGTGGCGCGCCGGAGCAGGTTGCTGCCTGTTGCTACGGACGGAGCTCACTTTTCCTTCGGCGCTCGAGAGTGGTGGACGTGTCTTAGGTTGTTAGGAGATCGTAATTTTGTAATTTTAAAATAACGTTTGGAATATAAGTTTTTGTTAGATTTCTTGTTTTCTTTTCTTTTTTTTAAAAAATAGTTTCCCATCTGATTTATAAGAATATNTTTCTTTTCTTTTTTAAAAAAATAGTTTCCCATCTGATTTATAAGAATATATTACGACGTAAAATATTATATTTGGGTTGGCTGATTTTCTCGCACTTGCCGCATAGTGAGTAGCATGTACAAGCGAGCTTGCAGCACACCAAACTTCTGAGTTATAAATTGCATTGCGTGAATAGCTTTCGTGCTCATCGCTTTAACACTCATGTGGGGATAAATAAAACAGATAATTTCTTTTGTGATGGTAACCTCATCCATTAACGTCGGTGAGACGTCGAACCTTGCAAAAGAAAAAAGAAAAGCACACTGGGATTCTCTGGAGATTTCCTTTGCCAATTTTCTTATATCGTTTTTAAAAAAGTGCTCTATGGGGTTTTGACAAATAAAGCGTTCTTCTAAGTCTAAAGGCTCGGCCAAACCAACGCGTGCAGCCTGTGCGCGCGATGGCGATGGCGATCAGATGTCGTGTATGAATTTGTAGCGATGAGTTCACATCAACGCGTCCTGTCATTGGTCGCGGCGATCTATGCACGCGCAGTGATTTCTCATTGCCGACGCGAGCTGCTACACGCGTTGGTTTGGCCGAAGCTTAAAGATGTGGTTTGGCTGTATTAATTCACCTGTGGGGTAGCGATTCACACGTACCAGCTCCACAGTAATAAATTGCATTGCGTGAATGGCTTTGGGGCCATTGTTCGTGCTCATCGCTCTACCTTCACTCCTCCACTCTCTAAAATGAGGCCTAAAGTATGGAACTAAAATAACGCTTCCATAAAATACGGCTTTGTCTTCCCAAAGAGGTATTTGTTTTAGAGTTAAATTAGTCAAACGTTTCAAGACGTTAATTATGTTTGAAACGCAATTTAACTTAGCCCAGAGCTTGAAGAAAAGGAGTAGGTATAATTATGAATATAGGTTTCAAGTCTTAAGCAATTAAAAGTTACTTATTCAGTAATAAATAACCATCATCTACTTACATGTATAAGTACATTTAAATCGTCTGAACACATTTAGTCAGACTTCAGAAGTCAGTTAGGGGCTTGAATTATTGCGAGAAGGATTTTTTTGCTTAGGTGTGTTAATTTAAAGCCATCTTTCTCATTCTTTCAGATAGGGGTGATAGGAAAGCTACAATCCTGTCCAAAACTGAGGTCTGCCATAATTGAATACCATGCTTGCTTAGTTATAAAATATTAACTAATTACTTGTCTTGCTTTTAATGTCGAAGCTCTCCATAGCCTTGCTTCATAGCTCATCGCAATAAAGCTAAATTGGTTCAGCTCGCGATTATAGTGAAGTGGACACTTTATACGCGGGCTGCTGCTGTATAATGGATGGACGGATTTGCATACTATCACATGCGAAATTAAACTAATATTCTACCTATAGACGGGAGAGGGCGCGCCTGACCTCTTAATGGAAACATTAGGCTGCGAGCGCACGATGTTACTGTGGGTTGCCTTATCGTGTTACATGAATAGGCAAGCGTTAATTGACGTGTATAATTTTTTTTAACTTAGAGCCGTGGAATGGAACGCGAAATTGTTGATGAAATGTTATCATACATTTTTTGTCTTTTCTCAGTCAGTTCATCACCACACAATCAGACAAAATTGACCGAAGCTCACAAAAAATCCTTTACATTCTAAATGAGATAGGATCCACTGATGAAATAGTTAGGTATCTTAAATGTTTCAAAGTAACCAAATTAAAGTAATTTGCCCTAAAAGTTATATGAGACGATTGTTAGGAAACAGTTGATAATAAACTCGAATATTAGTCATGAAGTTTATCCTTTCTCATTTCAATTACACTGAAACCTAAAACTTGAAATTGCTTGGAACAATTAATGTATTTAATATGCAAAGGTACCTAAAGTATATTAACTCTTTGCAAGGTGAACGACTTACCCGTCTGAAGTGAAAGCTTACATGTTATCTCAGTATTCTCAGTATTAGTTTTTGGATATTTTTATACGTTTTCTACGAAATGTGTTAGCGAAGTGCTAAGAATATTGAACTTTCCCCTTTTGCTGAAGATACTTCACGTAGGAGCACTTTATGTATGCTATTTACATTTTATAGTCTGTAATGCAGGGGCGTTTTCTTTTCGTCGAAGTTAATATGGCTGGATTCCGTGGAGGGTAGTTGAACGGGAAGCATGGTCGATCTGTTTTAATGGTTTCAATTTATTATTTAATGGACTTTAGTGTACAAATTTGGTGTTATTTTGTGTTCTAAAGTGCAGTGAAGTGATAAATTATAAAAAACATTGAAATACTTCGAATTTGAGCGCGCATCGAGTGTCGAGTGGGTTGTCGTATGAACAACCCGCTTTGGACCCGGTGGCGTCTCGAAACCTGCTTACGGGCATACTTAACCCCACGGAATCCATGAAAAATCAATAGAACTGAAACACCCACGTTCTATTGATAACTATGTCAATATTTTTCACTCGACATTGGCAGAAATAAACCTCCCAGAGAGGTTTAATTGCCACATATAAAAAAAAAAAAAATATGGCTGTCAGTAATTTGAGTGATAACCATATAGGTGGTACAGTGATAGTTAAGCTAAAACACATAAAAAACTCATTTATTTTTGCGAGTAGGCTTTTAAAAAGCAGTTTTAGACTTTTACGCGTCCGAGTATTAACCCTACTACTGCTTCAGGACAATGAATGGGCCAGTGCTGAGAAGCTAACGAATATGATCTAGCTAAAGATTTGCAGATTAATGCCTTTTGGAAGTGTTTTACGAGCTTTCTTCCACTAAACATTTTTGTCTGTAAACGAATCGAGCATCTCGTGTACGTTTACAAAAACCAGTGTGCAAACCAGTGAGTTTACGTTAGGTGAGCTCGCTAGCGAATACGTCAAAAGATTCTATGAAGATTTTATTTCTTGAAAGTAGCCGCTAGGGGCGCTGCACAATATGTCATACATTTAAATGTCATTTATTTACGCAGTCGCTAGCGAGCACACCTAACGTAAACTCATGGTAGGCACACAGATTACCTAGGCTTGTCTGGAAAAATGCTAAGCTCAAAGAGCTCTAAGTAATCTTAACAAAAACGAAAATCTTTTATCTCCTTAAAATTACTGACTTCTTATAAGTATGTAAGTACTAGACTCTTTGTGAGGACAATAACTTGATATTTGAAGATTATTTTGTAGCTATTAGTGTTTGCTCGTGAATCCATACGTTATCAGGCGTTTTTTGCGTGGAAGAGTAACAAATATCATTCATTCTCAAAAATTAAAACAGAGAGATGAAAAATCTCCTTTTATGTGCTTCACAGAAAAAAATATCACTATTTTATCTTATTTACCTTCAATATAATTTTACCAATACCCTTTTGCATGCCATTTAAATTGCAATTTGCACTGATATCGAAGAATTGAGTTCTGGTTTTAAAATCTGCAGATCATTATCCCATCGGCAACAAGTCGCACGCCAGGGCGACTAACGAAGCCAATCTGAGGGTACACCCTCAAAACATTTCGATTTCGAACCATTTCGAATGATTATTCATCTCTTTCAATCACTAAGTAGAGTGAGAAAGACGGGCATACCCAAAGTATTTCAAAATCGTATTTCAAAGTAGACCAAATGGAACATCGAAAATGGAGAAGTAGGTAAGTATGCTCAATAAATTGAATGGATAGTTAAATGATGTGGGTTGCGATAATAGGTTTTATCCGCTATTATATTGGATTGATATACTAGGTACACACAATACACAAAGCTCGTAGAGCTGATGGTCGTTGGGGCAGAAAAGCTCTCAAGTGGCGACCACGGGCCGAAAGACGTAGTGTAAGCAGGTCCCACTAGGTGGACCGAAAATCTGATGAAGTAGCGGGAAGCACCTAGATATGGGTAAGACAGAGACGGTCTTTGTGTAAATGTACTATTTTTTCTTTATTGATTAGTCGTTTTTCTGAAATGAATGAATATCCTGAATGGTGTAAAAAAATAAATGAAAGCTTCTTTTCCCAAAAAAGACGTTTATGATCTCAGTAAGCTAATAAAAGTAAGCATTACCAACGGTTGGAAAAGCTAAAATCCATCTCAATTTATTGTTTGTAACTTGGCCCCAGAATGTAAGTGGGCCTAGCACACGGGAATAATATATGAATTTACCTCCGGAATTAAAGTCGTAAAGCCGTGCCTGAGGTTTTACTCAAACAAATCTGACATTTAGGTTCGCCACCAGATTAACACGGGTCAAGCAAGTAGGTAGTGTCATTTTCTACTATAATTTTGATAACAACGTAACGATATTCTGAAATCTGAAATTCTAGTAGTCAATCATGTATCAAAAGTTCCATTTGGACAATGACATGTCAGTCCATAAAAAAATACAATATATTTCAAAATACGAATTTGAATTATTCTAATTACGCCTTTTTGGGATAAGTTTATTACTGGCCAGTAATTGAACTCCTTGACAATAACATTCTAGAAAAGCAAACAGTCTGAATAACTACGAGCAGATTTAAAAATAAGTTTCTTAGTGGCCAGTAATAAAGGGCTTTAAAAAGCTCTGGAATAAGGAGTCTGTTAACTGTTAATCAAATTGTTAAACTGCTTAATTTAAAGCACACACGCAATTTGTAGGTTTTAATCGTGAATGAACAGTCGTCACCATGGCTGTTATCTCCGGTATATTTTCATTAGACTGTGTCCCCAGCGGCGGGAAGTAATTTATTGCGATGCTGTAACGCGGAATTTAATAAGGTGCTCGGCTGAACGCCGGGGAGTCATCAGGCAGACA